CCACAGTTGATTTTTTCACACCAAGCTGCTTGCCTATTGTAGATTCACTCTTCCCAGTCTGGTGCAGGTCTACAATACTTTTCCTGGTGTCCTTTGAAAGCTCTTTGGTCTTGGCCATGGCGGAGTTTGGAGTCTGACTGTTTGAGGCTGTGGACAGGTGTCTTTTATACAGATGTCTCTCACAGTTGAAGTGTACCTCTGGTGCAAATTACTGACCTCTGTCATCATTTTAAGTGGGCGAACTTGCACAATCGGTGGCTGACTAAATACTTTTTTGCCCCACTGTATGTGTTCACCTTTTTGTCCACCTGTGACTCACCTGTAAATCTGCTGTCCAATAAAATCCAAATAAACAAGAACTAGTTTTAAAGGACCCTCATAGCTCTTCAACTCTTCTTCATACATATTCTGGAGATCTATGACTGCTTAAATTAATTTTTTTTTAATGAATACTGGAAGAGAAAGTACTTTTAAATAAATGACTGCTGTGCAGCAGTGGTGGCGTGGTTAGCACTGTTGGCTCACAGCAAGAAGGTCCTGGGTATGAATACACTGGCTAAAGTATTTCATGTTTGTGTGGCGTCTCTCCACTTCCTCCCATAATGCAACGATGTGCCTAGGTTGGTTGGTTATTTGCACCAGTTGGTTAGGTTGCTGTAACAATAACAGCAGTAAATACCTCAGATTGCTTAGCTGGCTCTGAACCAAGGTTGTCAAACACAGGGACCTGAACCAGCTTGCAAACAAATGTAATCTGGATATTTTTGCAAAGGTGAATATTTTTTGGATTTCATTATATCTTCACTGTTAATTTCATCCAAATCACAGGCCTGAATTATTGCTAATTTTATAGCCTTATTACTGACAGAGGCAGTACCCACAGCCTGGTATACTAAACTAACAAATAACAGATTAAATGTAATAAACTGAAAGTTTATTACTTTGTAAACAAGTAAGTCTGACACCTTTCCCAGTTTCGTTGCTCGAGCATGACCACAAGATGGCGCAAAACGAAAACCTAGAGAAGCTTATTTAATTGTATTTAATGTAATTTGGTCCTGAACTGCAGTTTAGTCACAGCTATGTTCGCTATCAGACTGAAGGATGTCTCACAGTAGAATCCTCTAATAAATGTTGTCAATGTTTCACGAGTGGAAGGTTAGAAGTCAATGAAGCGACTTCAGAACAGGATTGGACCTGTAAGACAAACTTCAGGGCTAAATACTTCGAGTCAACCTCTTGGCTATGTGTCATGAGAAATGTCGCATTCCTTCTGTGGCCACCTGTTGTGAAGAAGTAGGCAAAAATTTTTTATTACCCCTGGCTATTACTTACATCACACTTGACACTTTACACTTTTTCACGCGTTTTCAGATGTCAGATTTTTCTCACAGACCGCGAACGCCCCTTCAGTCAACATCATGAGAGTCATGTGATGTCCTGTCATGTGATGAAGTCACTTCCTACTGATTTGGTGAGGAGCAGAGACACTCTGCTGTATCATGTCGTCTTAGTTAGGCTCCACAGACGTTACCCGGTACAGTAACCATCATGTTTGGGTATAAATGTTCTCGCTTCGAGCCTCTGAAGCTGGCTCTGTGGTTCGCGGCCTTTCTAGGCTGTTTGTTGGTTCGGTCCGGAACGACGGAGAACAACAGCCCGTGGTACCAGGACCTCTGCAGGTAACAACACACACATACACACCTTCTGGGGGTACAAACACTGCAGCTGCTGACAGATTAACAGCGTTAAAGGTGCAGCCGTTGTCCTCTCGTGTACACACATCGTCTAAATAAACTGAATTGAGAAATATGTCTACTAATGCTTATTTCCAGTCATAGGTAGTTTTATTTCTTATTTAGCAAGCAGCCTAAATAAGTTTGATTCAGCTAGCAAACCAGTACAGCTGAATCAGACTACCCCTGAAACTCACATACCGTCGATGCTAGTTAGTTTTTCTTGTTCATCGAGGAAATAAGTGAAGCTTAGCTATAAATGCCGAAACGTGCACAAAACTGCCGTGCTTAATTGGGGAATATTAAACCTTAACAACATTGCGTTTTTCTCACAGAGCAGCGGCGTATTTATATAAATAAACGCACCGGAAGAGAATAACAACATAAATATGGGAGTTAAAATAAAGTCAGCGTTGTCCTTCTTTAGTGGAGCGTTGTCTCAGTAGCTGCTGTTCAAATATTGACTCAGCAATAAAGCGCAAATGATAACCCGGTGACTGAACGCTTAGGTTCAGCCTGGGTTAATATTACTTCCTCGATTTGGCAGCTTCCGAGGACCTTGGTTAGAAACACACATGGCTTACAGTTAACTTCTCCCTTAGTTTCTGTTCCTCGTCTGTTCCTTTACAGTCTGGTTTAGGTCAATATCCGTATTGATGTGTGGGATTACTCCTTACGTTCAGAGAACACGGTGTATTTGTGTATTTTTTTAGGTTTTACAGCACCTGTTTTATTAGGAAAAACATAATATCACACAATACCATATCACGTTATACCCAACAGGGGGGAAATAATGATGCTAATGATCAATTCATATTTTAATAAAAGTGAAAATGACAAGAGCATTTCTGAACTGTTGGAATTTTTAGTATACAACCATTAAATACTGTCCTCACTTCTGTGTCATAAAAAGATTACTTCAATATTAGTTAAAAATCAGAAGTGAAACCGTGTGTGTGTGTGTGTGTGTGTGTGTGTGTGTGTGTGTGTGTAAGACTTGCACATGTGTTTTCCACACTCACTGAAATGGAAGCATGGGGCTTTTAAAAATTATTTTATGACCTCCTCCTTTCTTATCTCTGTTTTTAATCCCAGTTGGTTTAATCTCACTTAACTCAGATTAGTCAATTTTGTTTATTGTTATTGTTACATTTGTTTGTTAAAGAAAAGAATGCCTTAAATTTAAGTTTTAGGTATTTAGAGAAAGGCATCAGTTATTTTCTGCCAGGGATTGAAGTGGTAAATTTAGAAGAAGATCATTTAAAATGCGAAGGCACGTTTGTATTTCTTGTTTTGTCAAATCAGAAGTCAAAGCTTCAAATTTCCTCAAAGGTTGCGTGATGGAAAAAGCTGAAAAACGTACATTTGCAAAGCACGAACCGTAATTTTTACATAAATGCTGTACTTCTGTGAACCACTAGATATTTTAAACTGTCATTTAAATGTCAGTGTGTTTTTGCTATACAGATGAGTGTGATTTATTTTATAGGAGAAATAAGTAAAAGAACACGAACATTTGTTCATTGTAACTATTTTAACAATTTTCAAAAAAATTTACAGCCCAAAACAATGACTTATCTTTATAGTAGCAGTGGAAATGATAGTCATTTGTTGTCCCAGACTGTAATTTTGTGGGGTCGGGGCCAACAAGCTCATTTCCTGGGTATCTATTTGCTTATTGTCTTCTATTCCTTGTCTTGCAGATATAAATGGGAGGCAATAGATCAAGATAATAAAGTGAGATATACACTAAAGCTCTGTGACTCTTCACCACCAACCAGCTGTGGAGCTGACACTGCCATGTGTTTACAAAACCTCACAACCAACAAAGAGCAGTCTGTTGGTGAGTTTTCTGTCTGCCTTGTTCTTTATGTGGGTTATA